ATTGTGGCCAGATTGTGTCCAAGAGAGGGATTTTGAAGGGTTTGGGACTGACCCTGAGTACCCCATGCCAGTTGTGGAATCTATTGTGGCATTGGGGAATTCCATGGGGTTGGATGTGGTGGAGGACCACAGTGAAGAGCTAACCACTGAAGAGCTGCAAGATCTTCATCTGGAACAGCAACAGACCACAGCTCAGGAAATTGCTTCAGAGAAGGAGGGAGAGAGATGGAAAAAAGTGCCTTCTTCAGAGATTAAGGAGATTTGCACAGTGTGGAGTAGGATGGAAAGATTTGTGGAGGAACATCACCCTGACAAAACTCTTGCAAGCTGTGTTGGCAACATGTACAATGACAATGTCTTGTCCCATTTTAGGGAAATTTTAAAGAGACACCAGAAACAGAGCTCTCTGGACAGATATTTAGTGCCACAGGTTTGCAGTGACTCTCAAGCTGGTCCTAGTGGCATTAAAAAACAAAGAGGGGAAGTAACCTCAGAAAAGGACTTGATACCTTAAGTCTTTATAGAAGGGGATTCCCCTTCCAAACCGTAATTTCTTCATCCTCTCCCCTCCTCTCGTCTTCCATACACTAAGAAGAGTTCTCAGTAAAGGTAAGTGTCATGTTATTATTGTTTTATTCATGTCTCATTGTTTTCCGTGTATGTACATACATCTGTATTTCATGTAAAAAAATTATTTTGTTTTAATACTTTTGGGTGTGTGCAACAGATTAATTGGATTTACATTGTTTCGTATGGGGAAAATGGTTTTGCAAATCGTCAATTTCACCATTAGTCACACTCCCTGGAATGAATTAATTACAAAAAACTAGGGTCCACTGTATTCTTAAACTTATCCCATACATCCTCTACCCCATTGCCTATACTCTCACTAGCCCATCTGTCCTCCAACAGTTGTTTATATCTTACCCTAACTGCCTCCTCCTTTAGTTTATAAGACTTCACCTCTCTTACTTGCTGCTTCCATTTTCCTTGTATCCTATCTACCTTTTACTCTCACTGTAGCTGCAACTAAAAAGTGATGTAATATATCTGTGGCCCCTCTATAAACATGTACATCCTGATGTCTACCCAACAGTTTTTTATCTACTAATATGTAGTCCAACAAACTACTGTTATTACGCCCTATATCATATCTTATATACAGCCTCTCCTCACTTAACGACATGCTCGTTTACTGACAAGTCAGACTTACAATGGGCTCTCTGACCAGTATACATACCTAAATAATGTATATTAGAGCTGATTTCCTCTTATTTTGTTTATTACAGTACAGTACACTACTGTATAAACATTTAAAAATATACTCAAAATGTTATAAATAGTGCAAAGGTGACATTAAAACCATATCAAAGATGATTGACACAAACCCACTACCATTATAGTATGCTCCTCACTTAACGGCGAATTCGTTTACGATGTAGTCTTAGGAATGGAGCTCCATCGTTAAGTGAGGAGAGGCTGTACTTATTATCCTCTTTTTTTTAAAATGTGTTACCTATAACCAAACCCCTTTTTATACAAAGTTCAATCAAATGCTTCCCATTATCACTTACACCTGGCACCCCAAACTTACCTACCACACCCTCTCAAAATGCCTCTCCTACTTTAGCATTTAGGTCCCCTACCACTATTACTCTCTCACTTGGCTCAAAAGTTCCTACACACTCGCTTAACATCTCTCTCCTCTACACTCCTCTCTTCTTTAGGTGCATACACATTTATTATGACCTACTTTTCACATCCGACCCTTATTTTAATCCACAGAATCCTTGAATTTATACACTTATATTCCCTCTTCTCTCTCTATAACTGATCCTTCAACATTATTTCTACCCCTACCTTAACTCTAACTCTCTGATACTCCTGACTTAATCCCATTTATTTCTCCCCACTGAAACTCGCCTACCCCCTTCAGCTGTGTTTCGCTTAGGGCTAGGGCATCCAACTTCTTTTCATTCTTAACATTAGCAATTATTTCTTTCTTATCATCCGCACTACATCCACGCACATTCAGACATCCCAATTTTATAAAGTTTTTCTTTTCCTTGTTTTTAGTAGTTTACACAGGAGAAGGGGTTACTAGCCCATTGCTCCCAGCATTAAATGGAATTGTATGAACTGATGCCTCATTCAGACCATAGGTTCATGCAATCTCTATCACACATGCATCATTCTGCAATTTATCTTGATTATGTTCAAAACACCAAGACTTTCATGTGGATCACTCATTTTCCTCCTGGTGCTATTGTTACTATCCAGAGACGAGATGGGCTGAAGAAAAGATAAAAAAATTGATTTACGAACACAGGCAGCATGTGGTACTGGACATGTACGAACAGAGCACTGGGTGAGGGAGGTTGTGTGCATTATGTAGGCCTTTTCCCATAAGACAGTGGACTTGCTTACTGGATTTGCTAACTGTGAGATAGAGGGGAAAGAACTAGGTGTGCATGTCACCATGTAAACTGATTTTTATGGCGTGTTCACTGAAAATATGCCATAATTTTGCAGCAGTGTTAGAGCGAAAATACGTTAGCAGATAGAATGTTATCCAATGGTCTACTGTATTTTTGTATTCTTAGTAACACTGTGTATTAGACCCTTGCATAAAAAAATGAAAGTGAAACATTAATTATAACACAAAACTGAGTAAATTTAAAGTATGACTTAGTCTGAGTTTTGTCCAGATAAGTATTTGCTTTCGTATTTAACCAACATTTGTAATAACCACTACAAATGTTATAGCAATTTTTTTTATGAAAATTTCCAACAAATTGCTTTACAAAAATTCTAGTAGGACAGGGTGAGTAGGACATGTGCAACAGGATGATATCTTTATTGTTAAAACTTTTTGCCTGTATTGTAAGCTTCTTCAGTACAAAGAAAAATAAATATGGAAACAGCAGCAGTAGTGGTGAGGTAAAGATGTAATCATTCTATCAACCTTGAAGGAATTCTGGAAGTTCTTCAGCGTTGATGGACTGATCACATCATCACCATCACCTCTACACTGCTGCTGCTGTCTCCATATTTATTCTATACATCTGATTGAAGAAGCCTATTGTTACCTTTGATACCTAAGATACCGTACCGTTGAACATGTATCTTATTCATCTACTTGTTGGTACTGTATACCATTTTTATCACATTGTGAGGCTGTCCAAAATGCTCTGCACAACCAGGGGCTTTCTGTAAAGTACAGTGGCCCTCCACATTCGCGAGTTCCTGTTTCGCGAGCTTCAAACATTCGTGAATGCCCAGCCGCCCAATCATATTTATGCTTCCCACCGCATCTCTATTGCCCTCCCTCTTCCCTCCCCTCAACTGGCAGCCAGCTGGCTTTGTGGCCAGAGTGTGTGTGCGTGATTTTGTTGGATTTGATTCTCAGGATGACGTTAACAAAGCTGTGGAGTTAGCAAAGCTGGTTGGTGGTGAAGGGTTTGAGGACATGCAGGAGGGTGGGGTGAGAGAACTGGTTGAAGAACATGCACTGGGCCTAAATGATGAAGAGTTGTTGGAGATTGTTCAGGCAGAGAATGAGGATGAACAAGAGGAGAGTGTTGCTGAGGCCAATCAACCTCAAACCCTGATCCTTGAAAAACTAGGGCAAGCGATGAGAATGACAGCACAGCTCAAACAATTTTTTTTCTGACATAGACCCACCGATGTTGAGGACTTTGAAGGTGATGACAACATTGATAGGAGCATAATTCCCTACAAAACTCTGTTTGTAGATATGAAGAGGAAACGGTCTCAGTTGCCCATCACAGTGTTCTTCACAAGGAAGCCTGCCACTACTCCCATTGCAAACTCTGACTCTAGCGATGTCGATGATCCACTGCTTATTATCGGCAGTGACGCTGGCAGTGAAGAGTTAGAATCCACACACTAGACTCATCATGCCATGCAGTTACACTCCATATAATCACCTCCATTCAACTGTTATCAGTAACTGCATGGCTAACTATCATTACCATCATCATTGTCATCATCATCACAAGTCTTAGAGTTCGTCTGTCTAACCTTATGAGTGGTGAGTGTTTTGTTTGTTCATTATTTGTTATTAAACCATAACAGGTATTTATATACAATACATGTATGTATTTTACGATGTTTTCATGTGTTTTATGATTGTTCATGGTTCAATAGGTTAAGGAAGCAGTACTGTTAGGCTAAGTAAATGCTATTATTATATTTCCCTACAATATATTTGTGCACCAATCATTCGCGAATTTTCAACATTTGCGAGGTTCTTGATCCCCTAACCCTTGCGAATGTGGACAGCCACCTGTATGTCAGTAATGTCAGCTATTTCTGAATCAACTGTAAATCATATTTTGTAGAAATAAAGTTTATCATTTATCAGGCGCCTTCTGTACATCACTCAATTTCTTATCTAACACATATTTTTAGTAACAGAATTATATCAATGGAAATATCAGTCAACTGTGTGGTATTTTTATATTCATTTTTTAATGAACATCAAATATGTGAAAGAAATTAAGCATTAATATATATTTAGTACAGTATATACATAATTTTTTATAGTATAAAATGACTGATAGGGGTTATGCTGCTTGTATATTTCTGGTATAAAATATATGTAATATTTGATCCTCCTGGATAAGAAACCAGATTCAAAAGTTTGTCTTTCTTAGCAAGTGCCTCTCATATTTTAAGGCACTGAATTTATTAATTTTAATGATTGTTCCATTTCATTAGTGTTAACGTTAAAAAATCTCTTGAATAAAATTTCTTACTATTCTTCACCCTGATGTGATTATCACCCTTTCATGAGAAACCTCAACCGTTTCTCATATTACCTTCATAATAATAATAATTTTATTTTAGCATGATATATGTTTGTACAAAGGGGTATAACAATTGGGTGTACATGCATCACAGTATTATTCATTGTAGTTATGCTTTGCTTCATGTTGTATACTTAACTGAAATGTATTCATCTCTCCATACAACAGGTGGCAGACCCATAACTGATGTGAAGCTGCAGACACCTTTGGATGTTATGTCGAGGCAGAGACAGGAAGGTGGCATTAACTTGCCTGATATTATACAGACTAAAGCATTCAAGATCGTGAATTCTGAAGGGCGTCATGCACTATTTTATATTTTTTCCATTGCGTGTCCCAAAAAAGTGGGAGAAAATTTGAAAGATTATTTTATTAATGTAGGGAAAATGGAAGAAGGTGATTTCATAAAATGGTTTACAAATGATCAACTTGGGAAAATTTGTGACAATCCAAGTGGTAGTGATTTTGATATTACATTATTATGTAGATGTTTGGGACTGCCACTGCCAGGATTATCCAAATGTGGAAGTAAAGTCTGGTCTTCGAAAGATGAAACAAAATTAGAGTGGCTCATAACTAAAATCAAGAATGATCGCAATAATATTTCTCACATACAAGAAATTAAAGATGAACCTGAATTAATTGAATTTGCAAACAATGTAAATATTCTCTTAGACAAAACCTACAGACTGGCTGGTAAAAACTATAAATGTGATAAGACTGAAGTGGAAAATAAAATTTTTGAAATGAAGAAAAAAATTGATGAGATTGTAAATGCACCTTTAACATTAGATGAATGTCAGTGGCAGATAATGAAAGACCTGATAGTTCAGCAAGAAAATCATATTCAGAGAGCATCTGCAGGGCTTAAAGAAAAGTACAAAATAATTTCAAAAATTCACCCAGCATCTTTTATCACTCATGTGGAATCTTTAAAGGTTCAGAGCATATACTCCAAGGTGGAGGTTGTGGAGGAGCAACATGAAAGCAAGGAAACTAAAACTATTGATCATGATGGTTTGCTAGAGCTGAAAACTAATGATGATCAAGTAGCATCAGTTATTATAGTTGAAGGTGAGGCAGGCATGGGTAAAACTACACTCATCAAACTTATTCTGGCAGAATGGGCCAACTTACCAGACATTCCTAATACAGTTCGAGGCTTGGATGAATATGAATTAATTCTTCACTCTGAATGCAGAAATCAGTCAATATCTACTTTTCTTGACCTTGTCCTTGTTCTCTTTGATCAGTCTTCTGTCGTGCTGTCAAATGATGAACTGTTACGTGCAGTTTTGAATAAAAAGTCACTAGTCCTGTTGGATGGAGTGGATGAGTGGAATGAAAATTCAAAGAAGCTTGCATTTGAACTTATAGGGAAGAGAATACCAGAGAGTGGTGGCAAGCTTCAGTTGCTTTGCACAACCAGACCAGAGAAAGTAGAGGAATTACTATCCTGCCTTCAATCCAGTCCTTGGATACATACCAGAATCCAGGGAATCCATCCAGACAAACAAAATGAGTTTGTTGTTAAATTTATGCAGGTTATGCATAAAAATTATGCTGAAAAATCCTTTAATCTTGACACTGAGATACACAAATTGAAAGAATTTCTGAAAAAGTCTCATGCTAAAATGGGAGAACAGTTCAAGCTGCCTTTGAATCTAGCCTTACTGACATATCTCTGGGTTAATGATTCTGACAGTATAAGTATGGTGACAACAGCTACTGAACTTTATTCGGTATTTCACGATTTTGGACAGAGGCGCCTTCTTGATAGACTTTTCCGACGTCAAGATGCAAGGAATAAAAATGAGTGGAAAAAGCAATGTGATGGCTTTCTTTGCATTTTGTATAGAGAGTGCCTAATTGCACTATCTAGAGTTGCCATGCAGATGCCTAAGGAATGTACAAAAAAATTTGAATGCTTTTGTAGTGAGAAAAACCTGCCTCTTTCAGATATATTAGAATGTTACATGGAGGTGTACAGAGAGTGGGGTACACATGGATACTTGACAATATTAGCACCCCCACACAAGACTAAGCTTGAGTTCTTCTCTGCACATGGAGTAATTAATGAGATCTGTCTCAACCAAAATGTTGAAGAAGTTTTAAATAGCATGGAAAGTGTTCTTGCAGAACATGGTGTACCACATGATGTACAGGTATCTATTTTAGAATTTGCCCAAAAAAAAATAATGTGTCAGAACAAAAAAACTATTCTGGGGGTGTTGGAGGATCTTCATTCCTCTACCAGTGATCTGGATTTCAAGCGATACCAGAACATGCTTATTATGATGGCTGGAATTTTGTCAAAAGACCATGAAATGCATCTCCATAACTATGGGTCAGAACTCCTTCAGCTTTTGAAGAACAGTGGCCTGAGCAGTTATCAGTTCCTAAATATTGTGGCAGAGACAAAGAATAATAACTTCATTGCTCAGAAAGTGTCGGAGAAACTTACAGAAAAGGTAAGGAATACGTATAAGTAATTTTTTTTTTTGTAAGTCCCTTCTGGGACTTGGTGAAATCAGTTATCTTGGTACATACACAACAGATACGATACATGCACTTGTGTTCTCACTGGCTTGTACCTGTTCTCAGTTAAATTTAAACCTTAATGCATCAGAATGGCAGTTTTTTTTTTTTTTTGAGCTGCTTCAAGTGAAACAACTCTGGTATTGTTCATGAGTGACCAGTTTTGTTTACAAGTGAGGCAGAACCTTGCTTTACATATTTCATACATTTGAATGTATTATACAGTAATGTCCAGTCAGAAGCTTAACTGATGTGCTGGCAAGTAAAAGAGCATAAATGCCAACCTGACCCAAAAATATTTTTTTATTTCATTCTGTTTTATGTTTGTATTTGTCTTGTGGTGGAGGGACAAACAAAACTGTCGCTGAATTATTGTCAAAAATTTCCTTGAAAGTGATAACTTCTCAACGTTAGGATGTCACACCTGGTCTGTTGAGTCTCAGATGCAGAAACAATGATAGGAACTGCCACTGGTGATAAATATGGCAGGAAAGTGCCAGCAAACAAAATAACAATGTGGGAGCCAATATTGTTGGTCAGTATATTAACATGCTTCAAGGTTTGTCTTCCCATTACACTTATTCCAGCTCACCTTATGGGTATTTCATTGGTTTATAGCATCACTACCCCTTCAGGGTTTAGCACTTAATTTGATTATGCAGTAATACAATGTTTACATGTTGGTAATAATAAAATACACCTACCATCCGACTTACGACCGAGCTTGGTTTTGACCAACCGGTCGTAAGTTGAAATGGTTGCAAGTCTGACAACACAAACAGTTGTTTGTTTGCATACAAAACATTTGCATGCATGAAAACATACGAAAACATTCATATGCATGAACAGAAAAGTACAAAATAACTTAAGCTAAGCTGTAAACAGTATGGTCGTTAGTATGAGTGGTCGTATGTCAAGCAGGTTGTAAGTCGGATGGTAGGTGTACTTTACTGAAATACTATTTTTCTGGCATATAAGCCACACCCTAATTTTGGCAGACATATTTTTAGAAAAATTAAAATATGCATTACTACTAGGCCTAGTGAGTAAATGCTGTTAAGCCGTCACGACTAACACTAAACAAATCAAACAAACTATTTCTGTAATGTGGATTATTGTATAATATACAATTAGGATAAATGACATGCATAAACTATAAAAAGCCTCTTTTTATGCAAGGTATTTTAGGCAGCCTAATTTGATACAAAAAATGCCTTTCTAGAAGTAAGAGTTGAAGAAAGGATAGAACGAAAACATGGGCAATACTGGATGAAAGACAGGGTTTCAGGATTTGTTCAGTACTGTATAATAAGTTGTCAGGATCACATTAAGGTAAGGAGGTGTTTTTTTAACAGTAACTTTGAAGTGGCTTGCAGATAGAGAGAGACTGGAATCTTCAGGCAAATATTTCCAGATTTTAGGTCATTTTATGCACATTGACATTTGACATGGGGTGAGTTGGACTTGATGAATATCAGAGATTTTTGTCTATGCCTATGAGTTCTGTTACAAGTATAAAAGATAAAAAGATAAAGATTTTATTTCTGTGTAAAGGGTACAGTGTGTAATTATAGTTTTGATTTGTTAAGTACAAAGAAAGCCACCATCATGCAGACTAATCCTAATACTTCTTAAAAACTACTTAAGTCTAGACATGATATGAGTGGTTATCTTTTTAATAAATCTGTATTTTATCTTGATACACTAATGCAAGGTAGTCAAATGTGGAAGTTTATAAGAATAATATAGTGGACCCCCGGTTATCATAATTAATCCGTTCCAGAGTGTGACTAAAACTGAACTTGACGATATCCCAATTCATTTTCCCCATAAGAAATAATGTAAATCCAATTAATCTGTTCCAGACACCCAAAAGTATTAAAAAAAATATTTTTTTTTTTACATGAAATATACATTTACAGTGGTACCCCGAGTTTCAGCCATAATTCGTTCCAGAAGGCTGTTCGAGTGCCATTACCGAACGATTTTGATTAGATTAGTCCATTGCAGACCCCCAAAAATACACTTACAAAAGCACTTACACTGTACGAAACTCGGGATGCCACTGTACCTACACAGAAAACAATGAGACATGAAGAATAAACGATAATAACATGATACGTACTTACCTTTATTGAAGACTTGTTGATGTATGGAAGACAGGAGGAGGGGAGAGGATGGAGGAGTTACTATTGTTTGGAAGGGGAATCCTCTTCCATAAAAGGCTTCAGGTACCAAGTCCTTTTCTGGGGTTACTTCCCTTCTTTGCTTTTTAATGCCACTAGGACCAGCTTGAAAGTCACTGAACCCCTGTTGCTCAAAATTTTTTCCAGAGAGCTCTGTTTCTGGCATTTCTTTAAAATTTCCCTACAATGGGACACAACATTGTCATTGTACATGTTGCCAACACAGCCTGCAACAGCTTTGTCAGGGTGATATTCATCCACAAATGTTTGCACCTCACTCCACTTTGCACAAATGTCCTTAATCTTTGAAGAAGGCACCTTCTTCCATCTCTCTTCCTTCTCCTCTGAAGCAATTTCCTGAGCTGTGGTCTGTTGCTGTTGCAGATGAAGCTCTTGCAGCTCTTCAGTGGTTAGCTCCTCCCTGTGGTCCTCCACCAACTCTTCCACATCCTTGCCACTCTCCTCCAACCCCATGTAATCTTGAAGTTGCACATAACAAATAACAATACGTATTACGAATAATGGTTCAAGCAGTACTGTTTTATGGATTAGCAGATGTTTTAATAGACTAGAGGTCATAAAATATTTGGGAGTTGCTTCATACTGATTAGAAGCTGTGTTGTTTAGTATTGAAAGATGAGATGATTTTTAAGCATAGCCCTAAACTTGTGTGCAATCAGGGGATCTTTTACCAGTGCAGGTAGTGAATTCCAGATCTTTGGGCCCTTTATGTGCATTGCATTTTTGCCCAGTGTGAGACTGACATGAGGGATGTCAATGAGTGCTTTGTGGTTTGTATTTTGACTGTGTTCTATTGTAGCTGTCAAGGAGAAGTTTAAGCGGAGGGTTTATATTGGAGTTTAATGCTCTGTACATATAGTAGGCATAATAATATGAGTGTATCTTTTGTATATTTGGTAGGTTCAAGCTTTTGAAAAGTGGTGAGGTGTGTTGTCTGGCACAGGAGTTGATCATCTGCACAGCAGCTTTTTGTTGGTAACTATTAAAGGTTTAAGATAGTTAATCGTGGTCATTCCCCAGGCACAAATACCATAGGTGAGGTAGGAATATATTAGAGAGTGGTATAGGATAAGGGGTGTCGTTTGGGGTACATAGTACTGTATCTGGGAAAGGATGCCTACTGATTTGGAGATTATCTTGGATATATGCTGGATGTGGGAATGAAATTTAAGATTATAGTTAATGTGAAGACCTAAAAATGGGGGAACCATGTATTGATATGTTAAGTTGGATATTTAAGGCTCTATTTCCAAACAGCATGAATTAGGTTTTGTTTATATTGAAAGTGAGTTTGTTGGTCGTCATCCAAGCAGATATTTTTTTTTGTAGCTCGAAGTTTGCAATGTCTCTAAGTATAGCCAGGTTTAAGGAGTTGGGATGCATTGAGGTGATCATTGGTTTAGATCAGAAAGATGAGTGGGCCACTCCGACAGCTACAGGCTGGGTAGTGGAGTTAACTTCATATGTGTATACATACTGGTGCCTATTGCTAAGACTATGCAAATACTATGCACTTGGTATCTGCAGGCATGGAATATCTGGAAAAACAGAAGGGACGTGCAACTTTGACCACCCCAGAAAATGCTTGCCCATATGACAACAGAAAAATGCAACCTCCCTTCCTGTAAGCTTTTTCACCCTGAAATGAGTCACTCTTCAGTTCAGGTAAGACAGTGCTATAACTTATATTGCCAGGCACACCACCTAAAGGGTACAAGAAGATACAGAACATCCAGGCCATGGGAAAACCTGGATAGCCACAGCCACTCCAGAGAGAGGTTTTTTAGCACCAGAAAGGTAGCAAGAAATGACAGAAACTGTATGCCAACTCCAATCATTCCTGGAGTGGAATCACAGTCAATGGCACTCCAAAACAACAGATATTAGTGCCTGGAAAAAAAGACCCCCCCATCCCATATCACCAATCCAGCGACATTCATCTTTGCAAATATACAGGGTCAAAAGCCAGCAATGAATAACAAAATACCTTTCCTCCGTGGACTGCTTATGGAGTCAAATGCAATGTTGGTGGATTTCACAGAAGCCCACATAAAGGATCACTTGGACAACGAAATATGGATCCCAGGTTATAACCTATACAGATGTGACAGAGTGAACAGGCAAAAGTAAGGGGTTGGCCTGTGTATCACAGAGTCACTTATATGCTCAGAACTACTAAATGCCTCAAATGATGTATGTAGTTGAAGTTTTAGCAGTAAAGATCAAGAACCAAAACCTGGTCATTGTGGTTGTATACAAGCCTCTAGATGCAACGTCCCAACAATTCCAGGAATGGCTCTTGAAAATTGACCACTGTCTGGAATATCTTCCAGCTCCTGCCCCCAACATCTTGCTCCTGGGGGATTTCAACCTAAGGGACCAAACATGGAGGAATATAGCAAATAATGTGGTAGCAGAAATAACACCAGGAGGCAGCTCAGATAAAAACTCGCACACACACGAGCTTTTAAATCTGCACCAAATTCACCTTAAACCAGCAAATAATAGAGCCTACAAGATTGGAGAATATGCTGGACCTCATCTTCACTAACAATGATGATCTGATACGAAATGTCATCAGATCACAACATAATAGAGGTCCAGACATGTATGCAGGGAGCCCTAGACCGACAAAATATGATCAGTCACAAGGGAGCCTTCACCAAATTCAACTTCAATAACAAACACATAAGGTGGGACCAATAAACCAAGTCCTAAATGATATAAACTGGGAAGATAGACTAAGCAACACAGATTAACTCTGTGGCACTTGAGGTATGCTCAGGGCATATTCCCTTAAGGAAAAGGAAGAGAAGATGTAAACTAGAAAGAGAAAGGCACTCCCTATACAGGCAAAGGCAAAGAATAACAGAGCGGCTACAAGAGGCCAATATATCTGCAATACATAGGGAGAATCTTGCAAAAGTCAAGAAACACGAGAAGAACTGAAAGCCATAAATGAAATTGAAAGAAACCCAGAGTATTTAGTTTCTTCTGCCATATCAAAGTCTAGAACAACATTCAGTATTGTGCCCCTAGTTAAACAGGATGAATCCTACACAGATGACAGCAAGGAAATGAGAGAGCTACTCAAATCCCAATATGACTCGGTTTTTAGTGAGCCACTAACCAGACTGAGAGTCGAAGACCTAAATGAATTTTTTATGAGAGAGAGGCAGAATTTGGTAGACACACACTTATCTGATATTCTGATGCCAAATGACTTCGAAAAGGCGATAAATGACATGCCCATGCACTCTACCCCAGGACCAGACTCGTGGAACTTTGTGTTCATCAAGAAATGCAAGAACCCCCTATCATGTACTACTTTTAACATCCTGTGGAGAGGGAGCATGGACACGGGGGTCATCCCACAGTTGCTAAAAACAACAGACATAGCCCCAGTCCACAAACGGGGCAGTAAAGCAATAGCAAAGAACTACAGACCAATAGCTCTAACATCCCATATCATAAAAATCTTGAAGGGTTCTAAGAAGCAAGATCACCACCCACCTAGATTCCCATCAGTTACACAACCCAGGGCAGCATGGGTTTAGAGCAGGTTGCTCCTGTCTGTCCCAACTACTGGACCACTATGACAAGGCTCTGGATGCTCTAGAAGACAAACAGAATGCAGATGTAATATACACAGACTTTGCAAAAGCCTTTGACAAATGTGACCATGGTGTAATAGTGCACATAATGCATGATAATGGAATAACAGGAAAAGTCGGTAGATGGATCTATAATTTCCTTACAAATAGAACACTAAGAGTAGTAGTCAACAGAGTAAAGTCTGAGGAGGCTAAGGCGAAAAGCTCTGTTCCACAAGGCACAGTGCTCTCCCCCATCTTGTTCCTCATCCCAAATTTGCATGACAGTGTCCTCCATTGAAGACTCCAGGCGGACATCAACCAAATCTTTAAATGGGCTGCAGAAAACAATATGAAGTTCAATGATTTAGAAATTTTTTAAATTTCTACCGCTATAGAAAAAATGAGGAAATTAAAAAATTCATTGGAATATAAAACAAAATTTCCCAAACCCCACGTAGAGCAAAAAACTGATGTCAAAGACCTGGGGGTGATCATGTCAGAGGATCTCACCTTCAAGGACCATAACATTGTATCAATCACATTTGCTAGAAAAATGACAGGATGGATAATGAGAGCCTTCAAAACCAGGGATGCCAAGCCCTTGATGACACTCTTCAAGTCACTTATTCTATCTAGGCTGGAATATTGCTGCACATTAAGAACACCTTCAAGGCAGGTGAAATTGCTGACCTAGAAAACATACAGAGAACTTTCACGGCACACATAACTGCGATAAACCACCTCATTGACTGGGAACACTTGAAGTTCCTAAACCTGTACTCCCTAGAATGCAGGAGGGAGAGATACATGATTATATACACCTGGAAAATCTTAGAGGGATTAGTACCAAACTTGCACATGAAAATCACTCCCTACAAAAGCACGATAAGACACAACTCAGTAAGTGTCAGGGGCCCAAGACTGTTCAACTGCCTCCCAGCATACATCAGGGGGATTACCAATAGACCCCTGACTGTCTTCAAGCAGGCCCTGAAAGAGATTCAGGGCAGGATTGATATTAGAATTGATTGTCCTGCCATGTCATTATTGATTGTCCAGTCGTGTCATTATAGATTGTTCTGTCATGTCATTTATGTATTCAAGAAACAGCACCAGCCCTAGGACTGACCTTTGTGGAACCCGACTCGACATGTGCATCCATTCCAACACCTCCTGAAGTACCATCACTTGTTTCCTTCCTGTCAGGTATTCTCTGATCCAGGCAGTGCTTTTCATGTTATTCCTGCCTGTTCTTGTGTGTTACTGTGTCAAAATTCTTCTTACAGTACAAGAAAATGTAATGCACCCATCCCTCTCTCTCCTATCTTAATTCTGTTACCTTGTCATAGAATTCCAGTTGGTTTGCAACACAGGATTTTCCATCCCTGAAGCCATGCTTGTTGTAATGTGTAAACCCATTCCTTTCTAGGTGCTCCACCACTTTTCCTCTGTGTGTGTGTGTACTCACCTATTTGTACTCACCTATTTGTGGTTGCAGGGGTCGAGTCATAGCTCCTGGCCCTGCCTCTTCACTGATTGCTACTAGGTCCTCTCTCTCCCTGCTCCATGAGCTCTATCATACCTCGCCTTAAAACTATGTATGGTTCCCGCCTCCACTACTTCACTTTCTAGGCTATTCCACGGCTTGACTACTCTATGACTGAAGAAATACTTCCTAACATCCCTTTGATTCATCTGAGTCTTCAACTTCCAATTGTGACCTCTTGTGTCTGTGTCCCATCTCTGGAACATCCCGTCTTTGTCCACCTCGTCTATTCTGCGCAGTTTTTATATGTCGTTATCATGTCTCCCCTGACCCTCCTGGCCTCCAGTGTCGTCAGGCTGATTTCCTCAACCTTTCTTCATAGGACAATCCCTGTAGCTCTGGGACTAGTCTTGTTGCAAACCTTTGCACTTTCTCTAATTTCTTGACGTGCTTGACTAGGTGTGGATTCCAAACTGGTGCTGCATACTCCAGTATGGGCCTGACGTAAATGGTATACAGAGTGTGTGTGTGCGCGTGTACGTGTACGTGTGTGTGTACGTGTGTGTATGTGTGTGTACGTGTGTGTGTGTGTACGTGTGTGTGTGTGTACGTGTGTGTGTGTGTACGTGTGTGTGTGTGTACATGTGTGTGTGTACGTGTGTGTGTGTACGTGTGTGTGTGTACGTGTGTGTGTGTACGTGTGTGTGTGTACGCGTGTGTGTGTACGTGTGTGTGTGTACGTGTGTGTGTGTGTGTATGTGTGTACTCACCTCACCTAATTGAGGTTGCAGGGGTCAAGACTAGCTCCTGGCCCCACCTCTTCACTGATCGCTACTAGGTCCTCTCCCTCTCTGCTTCCTGAGCTTTGTCATACCTCTTTAAAACTATGTATGGTTCCTGTCTCCACTACTTCACTTGCTAGGCTATTCCACTTCCTGACGACTCTATGACTGAAGAAATACTTCCTAAAGTCCCTGTGATTCGTCTGAGTCTTCAGCTTCCAATTGTGACCCTTTGTTTCTGTGTCCCCTCTCTGGAACATCTTGTCTCTGTCCACCTTGTCTATTCCCCGCAGTATCTTGTATGTCATTATCATGTCTCCCCTGACCCTTCTGTCCTCCAGTGTCGTCAGTCCGATTTCCTTCAACCTTTCCTCGTATGACATTCCCCTGAGCTCTGGAACTAGTCTTATTGCAAACCTTTGTACTTTCTCTAACTTCTTGACGTGCTTGACCAGATGTGGGTTCAAGACTGGTGCTGCATACTCCAGTATGGGCCTAACATACACAGTGTACAGTGTCTTGAACGATTCCTTATTAAGGTATTGGAATGCTATTCTCAGGTTTGCCAGGTGCCCGTATGCTGCAGCAGCTATTTGGTTGATGTGTGCCTTCGGTGATGTGATTGGTGTTATGGTCACCCCAAGATCTTTCTCCCTGAGTGAGGTCTGTAGTCTTTGTCCACCTAGCCTATACTCTGTCTGCAGTCTTCTTTGCCCCTCCCCAATATTCATGACTTTGCATTTGGCAGGGTTGAATTCGAGAAGCCAGTTTCTGGGCCATGTGTCCAGCCTGTCCAGGTCTCTTTGCAGTCCTGCCTCATCCTCATCCAATTTAATTCTCATCAGCTTCACATCATCTGCGAATAGGGACACTTCAGAATCTATTCCTTCCATCGTGTCGTTCGCATATATCAAAAATAGCACTGGTCCTAGAACTGACCCCTGTGGGACCCCGCTCGTCACAGGCACCCACTGTGATACCTCTTCATGTGCCATGACTCGTTGTTGCCTCCCTGATCCATTTCAGTGCCCTCCCTGTTATATGCGCCTGATCCTCCAGCTTCTGCACTAATCTCTTGTGAGAAACTGTGTCAAATACCTTCCTGCAGTGCAGGAAAATGCAATCAACCCACCCCTCTATTTCGTGTCTTACTTCTGTTACCTTGTCATAAAACTCCAGAAGGTTTGTGACACAGGATTTGCCTTCCATGAATCCATGCTGGTTTCATTTATAATCTTGTTCCGTTCCAGGTGTTCCACCACTCTCCTCCTGATAATCTTCTCCATGACTTTGCATACTATACATGTCAGAGACACAGGTCTGTAGTTTAGTGCCTCGTTTCTGTCTCCTTTCTTAAATATGGGGACTACATATCTCAGGTAGTTGCCCAGTTTCAAGGGATGTGTTGAAGATTGTGGTTAGGGGCATGCACAGCATCTCTGCTCCTCTAAGGACCCACAGGGAGATGTTGTCCGGTCCCATCGCCTTTGAGGTATCAAGGTCACTTAGCAGCTTCTGCACCTCCTCCTCAGTTGTTCATATGTCATCCAACACTTGTTGGTATATTCCCTCTTGATGTTCCCTTCTGTGCTGTCTTCCCAGAGCCCTTCCTGTCCCTACTGTAAAAACTTCCTTAAATCTCCTGTTTAGCTCCTCACATACCTCCTGATCATTTCTTGTGAGTTCTCCACCTTCTGTCCTCAGTCTGATCACCTGGTCTTTGACTGTTGTCTTCCTCCTGATGTGGCTATACAACAGTTTCGGGTCAGTCTTGGCTTTCGATGCTATGTTATTTTCATACTGTTGCTGGGCCTCCCTCCTTACCTGTGCATACTCGTTCCTGGCTCTGCGACTAATCTCCCTATTTTCATGTGTTGTACTCACCTATTTGTGGTTGCAGGGGTCGAGTCCTAGCTCCTGGCACCGCCTCTTCACCGGTTGCTACTAGACCCTCTCTCTCCCCGCTCCATGAGCTTTATCAAACCTCGTCTTAAAACTGTGTATGGTTCCTGCCTCCACTACGTCATTTTCTAGGCTATTCCACTGCCTTACAACTCTATGACTGAAGAAATACTTCCTACTATCTCTCTGACTCATTTGTGTCTTCAAC